ATAAGTCTCCGGGACTAGATGGACTTCCCCATGAAGTGTACTTGAGGCTGTCGCCCATTTTGTTCCTTTGCTGCAGCTGATTTACAACCACTGGATGAGGCAGGGTCTTTTACCCGACGCTTCACCAGGGGTGTGATCTGTTGCTGCTCTGGGACAAGAATGGTGGGATGGGTTAGGGAACTTTCGCCTTTGACGATGTTAAATACTGACTTAAAGATTTTGGCTAAGATCTTAGCCAACCGTTTGCAGCTTGTCCTGTCTCGTCTGATTGGCCCCTTTAACAGACTTGTGCTGTGAAGGGCAGGATTATTCAGGATAACCTTCATATGGTACGCTTTGATCTTAGAACAAGTCGACAGTGAAGCCGCTGGGCTGATCAATTTAGATCAGTCAAGGCCTTCGATAGGGTTGACCATCGGTTTCTGGATCTTCCTGTCGGCGGCCGGTTTCGAACCCGGCTCCTGGATCCGACTCTTGTATCGTCCCCTGCGCTGGTGGAAGTGAATGGGGGTAAGGTCGGACCTTTTCGTATTGTCTGGGCAAGGTTGTCCGCTATCGCCCTTGCTTTACGTTCTGGGCGTTGGAACCATTCTTTGAGTTAAAAAGCGAATCCGTCCTGCGCGGAATTTCCTACCTGGTGCTACCACCTCGGCCAGGTATTCTGCCTATGCTGCGGCGTTTACTCTTGTTCGAGCAGGCGAGATTGTGAAATCAGCAAAGAAATCTGGGATGAGATGGTAACAGGGCCAGGATCAACCGCGATAAGTCTGTGGGCTTGCGGTTGGAATTGCGTGGAAGGAGTTTTCTCTTCCGGACCTTTCCTGGACGGATGGGCGATCAAGATACTTTCGGCGTCTGGTTGTCCTGATCTCCAGTTGAAATGAACTGGTCGGAGGTACAAGGAAGGCCGAGGTCCGGTTAATCTGTGGTCTCGGAGGAGACTTTCCCTGAAGGGAAGGGCGGAAGTATGTGTTTCACACATCTATCCGATCCTCCTCTACCGACTCTCTGTGCTTCCACTCCCGGATGCCCGCTAATGTCATTAGTCCCGGACCTTGTTCTCTTTCTTATGGAAGGGCAAGGCCCCCATGGTATCTCGCGAGGTTCTGTTGCCTCCATCCCTCTGAGGGCGGTCTGGGGATGCCTAGCATTGAGATCCCAATATAGGGGATTACCTTTTTAGACCGAATGTCGTGGGGTCGAATGAGGAGGGTGCCTTTTGGAAAGAAGACGTCCAGAAACATTTCCGCCCCTGAAAAGTGTGTGCACGTATGAAGAAGAGGCCGAGTTAGACACCACTGCCGAAGTGCCCTTTTATCGTGAATGTCGTCCGCGCTCTTGAAGCTCCTCTTACGGGCTTCGGTGGCCTCTCCAACGCCCAGGCGTTGTCTCGCAAGGCATTATATCAAGTTTTAGTTGGGGGGGTCCGTACAAGATGATCTGATTGGCGAGCTCGGTCTCACGAAGCAGGAGGCTCGCTTCGATATGGCCTTAGGCTGTCTCGGGTTGAAATGCCTCAATAACGATGAGGCATCACTCACCTGGCTGGTGATTATTGAAGCCCTCTGGGTCGGCAAGAGACTTTGTTCAGCAGGCTTGAGAAATATCCAAACTGTCGCCGCTGTCGGGGAAGTCGAGACCATTGGTCACGCCTTCTTTCAGTGCAGGGCCATGCCGCAGCAGGTTTGTTGAAGGCCTCATGGTTCATGCTGCAGGGAGCTTTTTTTTGTCCTGGAAGCCTGTTCTGTTTGTAGCAATGTGGTGCCGCAGATGTGAAGGCTGAACACTATGTGTTCTGTTGCTTACTAGGGGTTATGAGTCGTGATTTGGACGACGCGTCAGAAGGATTACATTGAGGAAGTTCACTTTTTCCCAACTGATCTTGTTCTTTAAGCATCTTAAAAGTCAAGATCCGCGTGCTCACCCTCATGGAATTCAGCAAAAGGTGGGTGAATCTTTCGAATGTGCCGAGTAAAAGGGCTGACCTTGAGTGGCATTTGGATGCCGGTTAGGCATTAAGGATATTGTTTTCCTGGGTTAAACCTAGGCAACCCATCCAGAAGTTAGGTTAGATTAGGTTTTTGCATTTTTTCCTTTAGTTTTTTTTTCTATTATGGTAAACTTAGCTAGAGTGTAATTGCTCATTGGTCCCCTTTTATTTCTGTCCCCATTTTCTTTTCCTTTAGTTTAACTCCCCATCCCCTCCCTCTTTCTTAGGTGGTTAGTGATGTCAGTTCTCTGGTTGATGCGGGGCGCCTTTTTTCGTTCGTGTGTGTGTTTTTCGTTTTTTGTTGTTGTGTATGAATGAGTGTGTGCCTGTGTGAATGCCTGTGGAAGAATGAGTGTGGCTTTATTTTTTCATAAGTCCCAAGATCGTTTTAATCCGGTTAACTGATATTTCTGCCACATTCAAGAGTTTGTGGGGGGTTTTATTACTAACACAAATTTTATTTAGTTTCTTGTAAATATATTTTGCCATTTTGTATATATTCATTGGGGATCATTTTTAGAAGTTGTTGTTTTTATGCCCCTCCCACCACAGACAATATTTGGTATATAAGGGGAATATTTAGGTTTTTTTTCATGGAGTCAAAGAGGTATTTTGGTGTCTGTAGTAAGAAAGGTATGGATAAATGTGTTGTTTTGGTGAAAGGATTATTGTTCTGTATGATAGGGTCAGTGATTGTGGCTAGCTAAGTTTTATTTTTAGGACAAGTGATGACCGTCTTTTACCCCAACCCCCTTTTTGGCCTTGTGCCGTATTTGTACTAATGTACAATAAATAATGATATGTATTAAGTTACAACCTGCTTTATTTTTGTCTGCCAGCTGGACGCTAGTTGGAACTCTTACGCCGGTAAGTGCTTTTTATTATTGTTATTCTACAGTGTCGATATCAATTGTTTTTTTTTATTCTCATAAATCAATCTCAACTGGTTGATTCAAGGCTCAGGTTCAAATCACACAGAAATGAACTTATGGCTACAATGTACTTTGACATGAGAGTTCCTTACATAGCAGGTGAACAATGCCCTTTCTTGGCAACACCTTGATTACACATGTCCAGCATTTGCATATAAAATATTCCAACTTGGTCTCCTTAGAAAATTGGAAAGCACTTTATGGTAGACTTAATAGTATGAAGATGCAATAAAAGAGCTAGATTGAGAAAGGTAATCTGGCCAAAGCATCTCTGTCACTACAATCAGATGAAAGAGTGGACCATTGAAATGTTCATTCCAAACTTTTCAATTGAAGTGCAGTGAAAATAGTTTACCATTTTGAGGTTAATACTTAAAGAATAGTTTTAAATTTAACAATAAATTTATCTTTTTTTGAGGAAAACATGCAAACTCACCATGTGCAGGCTCACCATCTGGTTGGATAGGATGGGAGCATCTTTGATTATTTTCACGAAGTGGGCGGAGTTTCAGACATATGAAGGAGACTTTCCAATCAATGGGTCAATTATATCTACAAGGAAGTGATTCAGAGAGTGGCACACAGAGCCTTGGCAACTAACAATTGGCCTGAGCAGAATACTGTCTTTGTGAATCTTAGGGAGACCATATATGTGAGGTAGCTTGGTGTAACACTGTGATAACTGCCTATACATCTTAGGTGCGAAGTGATTCTTGTTCTTGATAAGTATCTGCGACAGTTTGCATTCAGTTTTCATTGTAGGATCCTTTCTTACTTTGCTGTAGCTACCATTGCTAATGAGCTCTTCCAGCTTTCTTGTATAATCTGATTTGTCCATCACTACAGTTGCATTGCCTTTGTCAGCCAGTAGTATGATGATATTTTTGTCCCTCTGTAGGGATCCGATTGTCAGTCTCTCCAGTTTCGTGATGTTTGACCTGGGCGGCTTGGCCCTCTCCAAGGTCTGTCTCACCTTCCATCTTAGTTCATCTGCCTGAGCCTGAAGGAAGTTCAAGGCCACTTCCTCGACTCTGGCAATGATGTCCAAGTATGGCACTCGCCGGATGGTTGTGGCAAAGTTGAGACCCTTATTTAATACTGATTCCTTGGAGGAACAGCTGATATTGGTTGATGTTGATTACTGCTTTCATTGGTGGGTGATGGACCTTGTGCATCACCTTCTAATCTTTCAATCTGTTTAATTTTTGTACTTGGCAGGCCTTGACTACACAAATTCATGTCTGAAGGATCTATCCAGTTAATTTTGGATCCTTCTCTGGTCTTCTTCATTGGTAATTCTGTTGAAGAAATCCTCAAACCTCTGGGAGATATGAGCTTATAGTCTCTGTTTTATCCAACGATTGTACTGGATTCTCTCTTGTTTTACCAATTCATATCTCTGAGTGGTTTTGTCAGAGAAAAAAATACCAAACACAAAAGAAATAGCTTTTCTTTCTTGAGTAAATTAAAATAGTAACAGGTTTAGTTTGAAGGAAAGTATTGAAAATAGTAAAGAATAGAAGAAAATATTCAGTGAAGAGTAGAAAAGATAACTGAATAACTTACTGACATCAATTAAAGGTCAGGCAGTTAAAAGAATTAATTGGTTGTCAGAAGAATTTTATCTACAACTTCATTTTACAACCATATTCACAATCTTTGCATTAGCAATCAGATGTTTTAAGAAGAAATAGGGAAAAAAATTGTCTGCCATTCCATCATGAATCAGTACATTTGAGCTTGTTTGAGTGTACTTCTACCCTAATGCTAATATTTCCCAGTTATCAAGTTAATTTACTATAGAATAGCAAATATTTTGAAAACCACAAAATGAATAGGGATTTAGGATGAAAAAAATCATTTGCACTGAAATGTATATAGCAAACAAGAATGTTTTTTGTTGATTCCTAGACCAGCATGAATACAAAAATAAAGAGATCTAAATGTGAATGTTAGCATTAAAACAAAAAAAATCTAGTGAACAAAAAGAATGAAAAAGAGTCAAGCAATAAATAACAATAAATTGGCAAAAATAAGTGAAATTGAATACAATAGACAAAGAAATGATGTACACTTACTTTAGCATCCATTTCCTGTAAGACTATGTTTTCAGGCTTCAGATCTCTGTGGACAATCCTTTGAGAGTGAAGATATTCGACAGCAGAGCTAACATCTTTTGAAAACTGTAGAACTTCAATTTCTTTCAGTCCATTACATGTTTTTGATATTACCTTAAAAAAGTAAGAAAATGTTAATTGTATGAATAAAACAATTCTTGAGTTACCCAATCTAACAAATGGATGCCCAATTTAACCACAATAATTAGTGGGGATCATGACCAACAATAAAAAGAAAATAAATAAACAACTCTTCTATGAATCTTATTGTTGTACTTGTTTTCAAATTATTTTTTGCAGTCTATGAACTGTGATTAAGATTTATTAAATGAATAGGCCAAAACTTTCCTTTATTCTAATAACATAGTAACACAACCAATCATATTTTGGTACTAGCTTCAGTTGAACCTGTTATACATATATATTTTGTTATTCCTATTCACTAACTTTACTGACATTCTACTACTCTAGCTTTAGTCCTTTCTTCATTAACGAAATATTTCTGCCAGCACAACCCCACTTAAAAACAAAAAATAACACAAAAATTTTACAATTTATTTACATAAAATTTCTTCCAGGAAATTTCAGCACTTAATCCATTGAATATCAGGAAATAAAAAAAAATTATCAAATGGTCAGAAATTAATTTGTTACTGACACAAATGTTTAATGTAAATGTAATGCCAATAATTTTATTTTAGAAATGCATCAAAAATTAAGAAAAAAGGAGCTTAAAGGTCAAGAATTCATAAAAGCATTATGGTTGTTATATGTGCAACTGTTCCAAAAAAATTCTATCTTAAATGATTTTCATATTGATATGATTCTCTTGCACACTATATATCAAATGATGTATATTAAAAAGCTTAAAATGAAAATCTAAATTAAAAAGTATTTAATGAATTTTTATAAAATAACTTTTGTGATCCTCTTTTCATCAGCACTACTGCCCATCCAGATTTTCTAGAACAATACATCTTGACTTTGTTTTAGAGAATTTGAGTATATTTCAGAAAAATGCTCATTTTTAATGCCATTTAACCAAATATTACAAAATCCATAAAAATAGTATTGTTTAAAATTTGTAGTATTTATGAGAGAAGAGTGTTTGGCAAATTTTTAAATTTTCTGCCTGCAAAAATACTGTGTTAAAAGGACAGGTTTTCCTTTTCTTTCTTCAAGGGTGAAATACATAATCTAGTCTCAATGAAACAGTTTTCCAGTTGTCATATTCTTCAAACTTTGTTTGGATTCTGTATCTTATACATATATATATATGTCCCAGTTTTATCCAATCTCACCTGTCCTGAATCATTACTCTCCTAAGCCAACATACACAACAAATATATCAAGAAATCAAAAGAAAATGGTTGAATCTGTTTTCACAACAATCCAAACAATAATTCTCTTCAAGCATATAAAATGACATAATTTTTCACTTTACCGAATGAATATTATTTCTAAATTCTTCTAGTAAGTAACAACATTTTGTTTTATGTTTACAGTAACTTTGTTCAAATAAATTCATTTCATTTTTTGCCTTGAAAATAATTGCAATGGACAAAAAATATCAGCTAAAACCACATACAGTTTTCCTATTGTCTTTTTTTGTTTATACATACGTGTGCATATAGCTTCACACACGATAAAGGACATTCTTATCATGGATAGATAGGTTCCAAGACATAATGATGGTGAAATCTATTTTACCTTAAACATTATAAGCTCATTTGACGAGGAGATGAAACCCCATCCCTCAATAAGAAAGACACTTGACCTAATTCAGTAGTTGATGAATGAAACTTTCTTTTTCAGTTTGATGGCTTTGAGTATACTAAAGTTGATTAATTTTTTTAATATTTTCAAAATACTATGATTATCAAAAGCTTGTTATGCTCGTCATTATTTTTCTCATATTTTAATTTTTTTGCAGAGAAGTTTTAGTTTAATACAGAAGTTTTACTGATTGGACTAACCACAGATAAATAAATCCATAGCTGACAATTCTACATATAGTAAAATCTTATTGGATAAAATTTTCAATTCATTCTTTAAGAATAAAAAAAATATTACATTTTCAATAATATTTGTCATTAATTGCACACACCTTCCTGAGATCTCCTTTTGAACAATATTCCATGGCCAAAATTGGTAAGTTTTGACTCAGAATTTTCAGAGGTACTGGAATCTCTTTAGCTGTGATGACATTTATATGTCTAAGCCTTTTCATGATTTCAATCTCCTTCTTCCATCTTTCCATTACTGTCTGGTTAATATCTCCACTTGCACGAATCTGCTTCAAGGCTATTTCTTCATCCTGGATATTAAAAATAAAGAAATCTAATTTAGTAAGGATTTGAGATAATCTTCACCTGTTCTTTTTTAAATCATTTATTAAAAACATACTTATATTTTTTAATTATGATATTCAAATATTTTCTTTAATAAACAATATAAACTGCTAACAATGTTTAAAGTTTAAGTGCTCTGTTTGCATCATACATATTTGTTGTGTAACCTAGGAAAAGGTTACTGAATAAGAATGACTGAAATGAAGGTTGGAAATGGAATAATAATATTTATAACAAATAACTTACAAGATTTGTCAGAGACGTGAAGTAATCAATCAACTGCTAGTGGCGAGCTAGAAGTGAATCCCAGTGAATCCAACATACAGTATATTCCACTGTATTTATAAGGAATATCTTTTTTTTCTTAATATATCTTTTTTGGACTTCCATCTCAGGAGATTTCTGAGGGATGGGTACATCAAATGTATCAAAAAGAACCTCCATAGGTTCAACCTCATCTGGAGTATTGTTCTTTTCAATTGAATGCCTACTTTTTATTTGATTATAGTGCCTTTTATGCACCATTTCTGGTCCTTTGATTAGATACACCATCTTACCAATTCTTTGGATGATAGTTCCAACTTCCCAGTATGTTTTATTTGATACATCTGGTAAAAAAATATTTTGACTAATTTTGTAAAATTTCTTTCCAGCTTTTTGTACTGTATGATCATGTTTTTTCTTATTGGGTATCAAGCTTGTCAAAAACTGATTATCTGTGCAAACATAATTTAAGAGCCCTTTTGAAGGTATCCACAAAACATTCTGCCTGGCCGTTACTTGTAGGATGGTAAGGGGCAATTGTTAGGTGTTCTGCCACAAACATTTTGCAAACATTTTGCAAAATTCCTTGAATTCTTTTGATGTAAATTGAGTGCCGTTATCTGAAACAGTAGAATCTGGTATTCCGAACCTCATGAACAGTTCATGTAGAAACTGAATTACTACTTGCGTGGTTGGTTTCTTACATATGAATATCTCTGACCACTTGGAAAAAACTGTCTACCTGTCTACAACAATCAAATAATATGATCTATTAAGTGAACCAGCAAAGTCAAAGTCAGGATTCTCTTTTGTAGTGCCAAAGGTAGCAGTATTCTTTCGCTGCACATGAGAACGTCATTGCACATTGAATATACCTTGGATTCTGTTTTACTACTGCCTTTTAGTTTTTTTCTTCATTTCAATAATAAACTTGTCATCCAACACTTTACTTTTTATTTCTTCTAACATCACAGGTAATTCCTGCACAGTATTGCATAATATTTTTTATCTCTACTTCCGATTGTAGAGAAGCAATGAGCAGGTCTTCCAAACGTTCACTATTTCTTGGAATAAGTCTAGACAATCCGTCCACATGACTTAATTTACTCGATGGCAAGAATTCCATTCTAAAGTTGTAATTTAGTAGAATGGTTTCCCATTGTTGTAACCTATTAGCTGTATAAGTCAGTAGTCCTTTTTTTGGACCTATAAAATGGTCTGTGATCTGTTTGTAAAGTAAACCTCCTGTGGATGAATCTATGAAAGATTTTCAGAGCAAAGACAATCCCTAAACATTCCCTTTCTATCATGGAGTAATTTTTTCAGCTGGAAGAATCATCCTAGATGTGTGTTCAATAGGTTTAACCAAGCCGTCTTCATGTTTATGCATAATGCAGGTTCCTATACTGTATGCACTAGCATTGCTTGCTATGATTATTTCTTTTTTTTAGATTGTAATGTGTCAAAAACAAGTCTGACATTAACATTTCTTTAATTTTCTCAAATGCTTCCTGGCACTCCATCATCCAAACCCATTTAGAGTCTTTCTTCAATAATTCATTTAACGGATCCCACAAACAATGCATATTTTGGACAAATACATTAGAATAACTTGCTAATTCCAGGAAACTTTGTAGCAAACTGACATTTTCAGGAGCAGGAATGTCTTTTATGGCACTGGCTCATGCTGGATCTGGTCTCTTGTCAATTATTTGACCTAAATATTTAATTTTGTCCATAAAGAATTCATACTTTTCATCTGTCAGCTTGAATCCATAATCCTGAATTCTTCCGAAAACTTTGAAAACATTTTTCTTGTGTTCTTCTGGGTTTTCACTTTTTAACAAAATATCATCAAGTCCACTCAGCATCATGTCCATTACTTGCTGAAAAATAGCTGGTGCAACCTTTATGCCGAAAGGCAAGTGATTAAATTTATACATCCCTTGATGTGTATGGTCAGTAATCTTGAACATTTGTCATCCACTTGAATCTGAAGATGCACGTCATTGATTTTGGAAAATATCTGACGCCCTGCTAAGTTTTATAAAAAACCCTTTCTAGCCTTGTGGGCAATGATAACTTTTGAGGGTAATGTTTAAGCCCATGGAAAAATCTGCACAGACACATATCTCTTTCAACATTTTCTTATTATATATACAGTTGATGAAGCCCAATCGCTATATTCCACCTTTGATAAAACACCCATTTTGAGTCTATGAAGCTCATCATCAATTTGTTTTAAAAATACAAATGATACATTCTTTTTCTTTTTGAAAGCTGGTTGTACATTTTCTTTTAGCTTGAATTTAGCTTTGTCTTGCACCTAACCCACCAGAAAATACCTCTGGGAATTTAGTTTTTAATTCTTCTTTTAAACTTTCTGCTTTGTTGGTAAAACCTTTAACTTTTTGATTGGACAATTGATTAGACTGTTCAATAAATTTAACTGCTCCATCCAGTCATAAATTCCCTTTTAAAATTTTATTTTCTGTTCTGTAACACTACGAGCAATTTTTTTGGCAACCATTAATTTTGGTTTACCCAATTTTCTCCATGTATAATTATTATACTTAAATTGGATCCACTATCCAGTTGCAATTTGATATTTCTGTTCAGGATTTTTACCTGCATAAATTTTCTTCTATTTTGACAAGCAGATTTATCCATATTAGTAATTTTAATGTAATTCTTCACACATTTTTTAAATTTTGTCTTACAGGGGTTTTTTATGTCATTTTTTCCACACCAAAAACATTCTTTCTTTTTCTAAGGACAGTTCTTATACCAAGATAATTCTCCACATGCATAACAAGGGTTAGGAGTAATGTTTTTTCCTTCTCCACTTTATGTTTCTGATGGACTTTTTTAATGTGCAACACACTGCTTATTTCAATATCTTTGGCATATTGACAAACATTTATAAATTTGACAATCTTCTGCTAGGTTTTGCAAGGTTAGATTGGGTTCATTTTTCAGTTTATTTAAAATTCTTCTCCGGATTTCAGCATCTTTTGTTGACACCAAACCTTGATCAAATATCAGGCATTTAAGATTGTCAGGGCTTAATTCTGCTAGTTTGAATTTCTCACAATTTTCGTTCACAATGCTTGTGCACATTGTGAAATCGCCATCTTCTTTTCATACATTTACTTCCGTTCATACATTTCCATCTTTAATGGAACAAAGATGTCTTCGGGCAGAAAAATTCCAAAAGCAAAGTAAGTGTTTCTTTAAATGTTAAGTCACTAGTTTTCTTATATATATATAATTTGTGAAATTAGTGCGTTTGAGAGCACCTAGTTTTCTTAGCAAAAGTCTGACTTTTTTTGTAATCAGACCAATTTGCACAGTCTGTTTTGTACAAGTCTTCGTATCTACAGAAATATGACAAAAAAGTTACCTCCTCTTCTGACATATAGTGAAATTCAGCAATCACATTTATGATAGCATCTTCTGAATATCCATTCTCATTACTTGTGAACATTTTCTGCTGTTCTAGAAGTTTCAACGAGTTTTTTGAGTTTTTGTATCATTTTTGCTGTTCGTCTTGCCACTTGAATATTTCTAATATTGTTCCTCCATTCTGAATTTTATATGCAGCACTTTTCACAAAAGATTTTCTTTTCTTTTTTTTACACAACTGTTTGTCAAAACAATTTAAGTATTCCTATGTAACACCTTTATAGTGAGAAACACTCTTGACAGGACACATGAATTTTGTAAACTTGAATTTCTCGTACCTTTCGTTATGTTTTTGTTGTTGGAATAAAATCTTGTGTTTTACTGACTGTTGTATTTCACACAACTTGGTACAAATCCACATAGTTGTTAGAAAAACTTTTTTTTTCACCAATGAAGCCTGGGTGAATTGTTAACATGAGATTTTGGTGACATCTTTGTTCGCCAGATGTTGTGCTGGTGAACGCTTCCTTGAGTTCCAGCCAAATCCTCGACACCAAAATGTTATACGAGTGACTTCATTTGGCGAAATCTTCATCGCTAAAATGTTGTAATAGTGACGGTTATTTGATTTGGGTAAATCCTTGTCGCCAAAATATTGTAACCTAGGAAAATGTTACTGAATAAGAATAACCAAAAACAAAGGTTGGAAATGGAACGATAATATTTATAACAGAAACAACATACAAGATTCACCAGTAGTGCGAAGTAATTAACTGTTAGTGGTGAGCTAGAAGTGAATTCAACATACAGTATATTCCATTGTATTTATAAGGATTGGGACATACCCATTATAGTCCATAGGTACGGTATAATAATATTAATGTAAAAAAATATAGACAGGTATACAATTACATTCTTACAATTACTTTCTTTCAATTATCTATAATCTCTTAACAAATGATTGGTCAACAATTTATAGAAGTTGTGTCAGTTCTTTCTTAATGAAAAATGAAAAAGAGAATACCTGAAATCATTACAATTCAATTTAAATAAATTACTTGATGAGTCCATACTGACCAACTCAGCTGAGCTAACATGCTTTTCACTTGTATCAATGACAGCAGTATTGCTTTGGATGATATCAAAGGGCAGTTGCTGGTGATGAAAAGCAATCATGTGAGTGTTGAAAATGACATGAACTATACAACATTTGATCCTGAGAATAAGATCATCAGCTTTATCTCCATAAATCTTAAAGTCAGCAGTATACATACAGCAGTCTGTGAAACTGGTGCAGTTTAACATGCTTAACAAGCCCATCACTGTTGGCATCTGAGTAGAGTTATGGCTGACATTTGTAGATGGGACAGAAGAGAGGTATCCACAAATATGAATCTTGTACATGGTATTTACTGTTTATCAGATGGTCTCATTGATATTGGCATGGTTAGAGAGCAGCTATGGGTTTTAACAGAGGAGAGAAAAAAGACCATTGTTGTTGATAACAGTCCCACAACTGAAGGTGTACTCATCAAACACATCAGAACCAGTGTGCAGGGCTATCACAATATCAAAAGTGATAATATCAAAGATATAGCTGATAGGAAAAGTCTTGAGCCAGTCTCTGGAGTGTTGATGTGAGGTGACAGTTCTGCATCAAGGTCATTACGGTAGCATAGTGTCATCAGATAGCTGGTCAATGTCGGTGGTTGATGGGCAACCCATCTTGTGCCATGGTTAAGTGTCCAGAGCAGTAGATCCTTTGCAAGTTCTTGTATTGCTTGCTAGTAGTGTCTTACACAAATGCAGAATGTGCTTTGCAGGACACTGTTTAATCAACATATCATATCCTGTCATCACTCCCACTTGTTTTAAAAAGAACTAGAAAAAAAAGCTTAACCAGTGTTGTTCTAAGAGTGGTTCAGCATATAAATAAGCCTCAAAAGCAATCAAAACAGGTGTTCTGTGGCCCAAATCATTAGGATCAAGGTGTAGCATCTGTCCCAGCAGCAGCAATCACCTGTCCATGGATCCCAGCCATCAGTAGAAGCTCGAGCTAGCCAAACATCATCATCTTAATATTGGCTGTCACTCTTGCTGCTCTAGCCATCTCCAGCTCCTCCAAATGTCCTTGCCAACAATATGTAATAAATAAACTGTCCTTTTTAGGACAACACTCTCTAGCAACCATGAAACTGTCCTTCTCAGGACATCTGTTCATTATTTTTGTTTATATATTTTTCTTTAGCAAAAATAAACTTGGCAATATTTATTTTTACTCAAGTCTTCATTTTGTTTGTGTTCTGTTATTCAATATATGTTTGCAGGCCAAACTACTACCTGCAACAAACAGATACTGCATCTTTATAATACTATTTTGGCCTTTATAAAATTGTCTCCATGAAAATTAATTCTCTAAAAATTGCAAAAAGACATCAAATACTATTCTTGGCTCAAAAAGAAAAGATGAAAACTGGGAAGATGGAATTATGAAATTGCTTGAAAGATTGTACGAGTGGAACTAAATTGTATTGAATTCATTGAAGTTAATATAAAGAAGATAAGCTTATTTTTATTTAACAGACCAAGCATTTTTTATTACCCAATACATTAGAGTTTTCACAACAACATCAAATACATCATTAAAGCAGTGGTATCATCAGCCAATTTTGAAAGTTGAATTAATAAAACAAGTATCCAATAAATTGAATTAAAACTTCTTTATAAAAATAAAAATCTTAGAAAACAAGTTGAGTATCTCTATATTTACTTAGAAACATCAATAAATCTATAGCTTAATGATTAGAAAAATATTTTAAGTGACAAATATTTATTTTCTTGACAATACACTTAATTCAATGCCTCTTGATAAAGCAAATATTTACAACAAAAATTTCAGATCAAAATTTAGCTAATTTAACTATAGACTCATTGCTTTATTCTTATACATATCAATATTTATAGACAAAAATAGATGTTAATCAAAATAAAGAGTACCAGAATTTGTATACATACACCCTTTTTCCATAGATCAACAATACCAAATCCTCCATTTCCTAAGTTTCTAACTTTCTCCCAGCCACCAAATTTGTCTGCTTCTGAAAATAAAAAATAATAATTTGATTATTTATATAGAGGAAAAAGTTAAATTACCTGGCCCCTAAGAAAAAAAAAATACCTAACTTCCAAGCAAAAAAGTAGTAACAAGTGCCTTTTATTTAATGAACTTGTGACTCTTAACTAATGTAAACCACTAGCAACAAAAGTTAATCCTGTTATGAAAAAATAAGCACTTTTAAAAAAAAAATTTAAAAAAATTCATTATTAGCACTAGAAATCATTTATATTGGTATCATACTTTTCATATCAAGACTGACAAAAATAGCTTCCATAAATATCATTGTGCTTGTGAAAAGTATTTAACAACTGACTTACATATTTTCCTCAGTCAACAGATGTAGAAACTACTTGATTCAGTAAAAGCAGAATGTGGGACCTAGAGCCAGATATTGAGAGATAACTACACTTTCTATACAAATTGGCAAACTGACTTTTCATAGATATTTCCATACTATTTTGAAGTTTAACATATAATATATATATAGTCAGAGTTTTTATGATCAGTTTGTTATGAAAAAAAAATTGGGAGTAACTTTTGCTGGAAGAATTAAAATTTATGCAATAAAATTTCTCTTCACACTTTGCCAAAACCAGCAACAATAGTTATCTGAAATGGTAAGCCCCTTGAAAATGGAACAAAATCAAAATTCGCATACAAGCTATAAAACTTTGAGTAGCAATAAAATGAGGATAAGTATGAAGATTTCAGAATGTACCTTTCACATAAAAAAATGGTGTAAATTTGAAAAAATATTTGAAGATATCAGATTTCATTGGAATAACCCTTTTGAAAGCTGAAGAATATATTGCTCTGTAGGTTCAACCTCTGAACAATAATGGAAACTTCAAAGCTGAAAAATCAGGTTCCTGACTTTTCTGATGCAAAACAAACTGTAATGTACAAGGATCAACTTAAATGTTCATTAACTGACCAAACTGATCATAAAAACTCTGACTATATATATATATTATATGTTAAACTTCAAAATATTGATGGAATGTGACTAAATAAGGTTTATTTGTCAACAAACCTTCCATTGTTGTTGCAGTGCTTGGATACCACTGGGGAAGAAGCTTTTATCCTGTTGGTCCAAAAAGTCATAAACAGCATATATGAGGCCATCATCACTGCAATACTGGTTTCCAGCCAAGGGTTTTCATGTTGGTGGAACAGATAGGGCTAAATCAGGAGAATAGGGAGGGTGATCAATCAGTTCAAAGCTACACAGCAATTGAATCCAATACTAGAGCATTGTCCTGATGAAACAAGATTTCTTTTGTCAGTTTGCCTGGGCATTTAGTCATAATAACCTTTTGTAACTGCATGAGAAAATTGACATAGTACTCTCCATTGATGGTGTGGACTTTTTGAAGATAGTCAATAAGTACAATGCCTTTTGCATCTCAAAAATCTGAGGCCATCATCTTCCCTACAGATGAAATAACCATAGACTTCATTAGAACAGTTGAGGAGTGATGTTTACACTGTATGGATTGTCTCTGGTTTGAAGTGATGAACCCAACACTCATCCTGTATTACGAAATGCTCAAGGAAACCAGCTGGATCTGCCTCAAACAATGTCAGATTTTCCTGTGATGTGATAAGCCCGGTGCACTTTTGTTTAGGTCTCAGAAAACGTGGCAATCGCTGAGCAGAAATCTTTATAATGGCAAGTTCATTGTACGGAATATATGGCAATTGTCTGTCATCCATCACCATGTAGTGAACATGATCAATGTTTTATTTGTTGGTGGTAGTTGCAGGATGTCCAGACCATGGGTCATCTTCAAGACTTTCCCTTTCCCTCTTAAATTCAGTTGCCCACTTTTGCACTGTTGATAAAGCTGGAGCGTGATCCCCTAATGTAGCTACCATGTCTGCGGTTAATGAATTTTCTAATTTTCACACTATTGGCCACATTACTGAAAATCCACGAAACATTATGTTGTAGCTCAATTAAAATTTTATTTACAGGATGAACAAAGTTTACAAAGACAAACATTTTTAACAAAAAATTGAAAAGTGTCATTGTAATAATAACATTAATGTGAAAAGCATGCTGCATGTTCTGAAACTAGTTTTAAAAGTTATTCATCCATTGACATATAAGCTGTTGAATTTCTTCATATGAAAAGACTGCACAACATCCAGAATAGCATTCCAATGGCCATCTGCCAATGTAAACCACCTTCTTCAAAATGTTCCACATATCTTCCATTGGGTTATGGTTAGATAAACAATCTGAGCATCTTTCAGATGTATTTTATTTAGATATATAATTTTCATGTTAAATATCATTATCTTTCTGAAAGCCTCCAACTCCTTTAACCATGGATTCATGTGTGCCTTAAAAAATAAAACAAAAATAATCAATGCATGTTTGAGCTGTCATCTTAACATCATCTGGAACTAGTCATCGGCTCACTACTTCATAAACTATAAACCTATGCCAAAACATCACCCTACCACTTCTGCCTTGTTGACATGTGGGTGATTTTCATCAGTATCCACTTAAACTTTGCCCCATTTGTTTGTCTGGCCCATAAAGGATAGTTTTCAACTATTCTGTTGTATTTGATTTTCCAGATGAATGTCTATTAAGAGAAAGCCTAGTCATCAGTCTCACATGTTTTGCTACTTGTGCTTATCAACATTTTCTCACTGCTGCATTATCTAAACATTTTACAATTTAATGAAGAGACTTTTTTATCTTCTTGATATGGGACACACTTCAAGGATATAAAGTTATCAATTTGCTTTTATCAAACATGAACTGACAAAAATACAAAAAGTGTCATTTCAATGACAGTAAATGCAGATCCATAGCATGTCAAATTGATTGAATATTTTGAGGTATTGATAGTTCTAAAAGAGATCTAAGTTATTCAGTGGCTGATATCATTGAACCATTATAACTGAATAAATGGTGGTGAGACCAAAACTACATCTGTCACTGTTGAATGTAAGATTATACTTATTGATAGCATTCATATGCTGAGATTAATTTTATACTCTGCTCTGTGTTTTTTAATCCTTTCACCCCAAGCATGGCAATAATGAAACTAAGATGCAAGGGATTATGGAGTGTGAAAGTATATGAGAAAAAGAAAAAAATATTAAAGAGAGAGGACAATGAAAGAACAGGAATTAAGAAGACAGAAGATAACAATTGACACTAAATTTAAATTTTTGAAGATCAAAGTTGACTGGAAGGCAAGGAACTGGAAGAGAGTTCTACAAGCAAAAAGTGTTAACATAGGTACCTCCATGAAATCGCTAATAAAAAGAGCATAGTCTGATACAAAAGATGCCAAACTTTATGAAAACAAAATTTTATCATCTAAATGCTTATGTTTTTATGAAGAGGAAAGATCAAAGTTATTTTTAATTATTTTTTAAAATTTTTCCTTCTTTTTAGAACATTCTAAATTTTGATTTCTCTTTGTACCAACCGGAATTAGTAAATAACATAGATAATTTTTAGCACGTTTTTTTTGTATTACACACATTAATTTGGAAAATCTTGCAAAAATAAAAATAACCTGAAAATCAGCTCTGAATTGTAACATACAAAACTCAATAAAACAAAGATACTATTTAATTTCAAATGCTTTTATTTGTTTTTAGTTGTTTTTATGAATATTTTCTGAAAGCAAGGAATTTTTTCAATGAAAATTGAATTTTTAATACAATTATTTGTTATTTCTTTAATTATAATAGATTTTTACATTAAGTTTTTAAAAAATATTATAAAATTAGTTAAAAGCCACATCGGTTTTTCTAAGTGTCCTTATGAGATAGATCATTGTCTAGTGCTTTGAAAATTGTATCATTTGGACCAATCAGAAGATCCGCAGTAATTAAGAAATGTAATTTTGTGTTTATAATCAGGCGGTAATTATAAAGTACGGAAGACCAAACAGAATACAATTAAGTTGCATTATTTGAGTTCAGCATTGTTCTCCACTGTTAAGGCCTTTACTTTTGTGAAACACGTATGGAGAAGTTAATTTGATTTTTCAATTTCAACAGAGAAGGGTACCTACAAGTATCAGTATCATCTTATGAAATTTAACTACTGATGCTAAACTTTATTTTATATGATCTTATTTTTATATTAATCTCAGTTATGACATTTTTCCATAAATGAAATATCAAAATTAATAATAAAATGAATGGAAATACAAATAACACGGTAAAATGTAATAAATGTACATAAAATTATAGTATTTTATGTACACTTCTGATAAAATTTCATAAGAAAGGTACCTATAAATTAATTAGATACCTTTCTTATGAAATTTAATCTCACTCTTAACAGTCTTATTTTTTAATTTCTTTATAATATATTTTCCATAAAGCATCATAAACATAAAGATGAAAGCTAAGTACAAAAAAAAAAAAATTAAAAAATTAGAGCGCTGAAAGTTTTCCTTAAAAGTAACGAGGTAAATAATTTGTACACTTAAATCTAAATAATTTCACTTCCTTCCATCCGTAGAAAGAATTATCCTCCCGTAAGTTATCTAAACGTCATGAAAATGTCTTTCGTCACCTGTCAAGTGACGCGAAAGGTTATGACCTGCTTTGTTTTATTTTCAAATTACATTTTTTCGGTGCAGAAGCTAAGTTAAGCTTGGTCCAAAATATTTTAAATAAACATTATAATTTCTGATTCTATTAAAATAAGTTTTGAAAAAATGATAATTGATTTTTAAAAGAATGTCAAAGTGAGATTTTCATCTTTTTTATAAAATGGAAAAAAAAGATGAAAATGATGGATTATCTGTCCTTTTTTTTTTTTTGACAAAAAAAAAACTAGATTTTTAATGAAAATTTTGGACGTGCTAGGAATGATTAAAAAATGTAAAAAAATACCCCCAAAATACTTTGATCTTTCCTCTTTAATAATAATATGAACATTAGACGATAAAATTTTGTTTTCGTCAAGTTCGGCGTCTTTTTCATCATGCTATG